AGGAGTCATATTGAATCAGAGAGTGAAGATCTAATTAAGAGACAATCAAGTATTAAAGTAAAGAGGGTAACGTCACGTCAAGACTCTACCAAAGAAGAAATATCAGAAAAAAGATTGGAAAAACTGGTCAGTAGATGTAGTATGACTTTTTAAAATACATGTACATATAGCTGTGTTTTGTGTATTTTATTTTAAAACTATCCATGGTTTTTTCCAAAAAATGGCTCCGAAATCACCTCCAATTTTTATTACATTTTTTGATACATATTGATGTACTTATGCTATGTAGAAAGTTTGAGTCAATTCCGACTTCAAGCTTTCAAGTTACGGCCATTTTAAAAATAAGCCATTTTCTGAAAAAATCCCTGGGCTATAGCCCATGGTTTTTTCCAAAAAATGGCTCCGAAATCACCCCTAATTTTTATTACATTTTCTGATACATATTGATGTACTTATGCTATGTAGAAAGTTTGAGTTGATTCCGACTTCATATTTTCAAGTTACGGCCATTTTCTGAAAAAATACCCTGGGCTATAGCCCATGGTTTTTTCTGAAAAATGGCCCCGAAATCACCCCCAATTTTTATTACATTTTCTGATACATATTGATGTAATTATGCTATGTGCAAAGCTTGAGCTCATTCTGACTTTAAATTTTTGAGCTACAACCATTTTAAAGTCATCAATTTGGTTCCTCCTTGTCCCTGTAGGAGGAAGAATGGGATAAGGATATTCCTGATGTGTCATTGATGCGTGTTATGAAAGCTAATGCTCCTGAATGGTGGCTCATTGGTCTTGGATTAATTGGCTCTCTATTCCTCGGAGCTATGAATCCTCTTTTTGCCGTCTTCTTTGGTGAAATTATTGAAGTATTCGCTAGACCAGCTTCTGAGGTACTGGATGGACTCCATTTGTGGGCGGGGCTTTTCCTTGCTCTTGGTTTTGCTGCAGCAGCTGGAACTTTTCTAAAAGTGAGAAAAATAATAATTTAATCAATCACTATTCTTTTCCTGTGTCTTTTCTCTCCAGTCATTTTGTTTTACTGTTGCTGGTGAGAATCTTACTGCTAGATTGAGGGAGTGGTCATTCAGAGCTATCCTTCGTCAGGAAATTGGCTGGTTTGATAATGAAAGGAACTCGTCTGGTATCCTAGCAACCAGACTGGCACAAGACGCCTCTAGAGTACAAGGGGTAAGCCAATAACTAATAATTATAATAAATATTAATAAACACGTACTGTAGGCTACTGGATCAAGATTGGGTACTCTCATTGAAACTTTCGTTGGTATGTTTGCCTCAATAATAATAGCATTTGTGTACTCCTGGATGCTGACACTGGTGTTGATTGGTTTTGTCCCAGTATTCATTATTTCTGGGATCCTTGAGGTCAAGGCTCTTACCGGTCATGCTGGTGATAATAAGAAAGCACTGGAGCAAGCAGGAAAGGTTAGTCATGAAGCTCACAGCTCATTGAGTATTTAACATACTGCATGACGTGATTTAATGCCTTCAAGCCCAAAATGCAGGCAACATGTTGTCAGCCTTTAATTGATCTAACCGGAATAGAACATTTTTCTTTGCAAGGTAACATTTTGCTTGACCACATGATCAATGGCTGGGCAAATGCTAGAAACAACATTGTTGAATAAATGTGGTGTACGTGTACCTGTACATTGAGTATGACAAATTTGGTCCTACTGTACATTATTATTAATATTGCCATTACTGTAGATTGCAGTTGATACTATTGAGAATATGAGGACTGTAGCTTCACTTGGAGTCGAGATCAAGTTCTATACTGCATACAACACTGAAATCAAAGGTCCATACAAGTAAGACCACACTTTTTAAAGTTTGTATATTGCTGCTAAAAATAAACCCTTTACCTATTTTTATTAATTTCATTATTATTATTTAATGCTCATTTTTAAAAGAAATATTGAATCATGCTTTATTTGCTATTGCTTTTATTTTGTAGGAAGAATCTTGTGAACTCTTTTGTCTATGGTCTCACTTACGGGTTCTCTCAAAGTGTCATATATTTAGGTTTCATACTCACCTTTGGTTTTGGTGCCTATCAAGTGACACGCCCACCAGGCCACATTGCACACGAGTCCTTCTCTGATCTACTGACAGTTCTGATGGCTGTCATTTTTGGTGCTGTAGGTGCAGGGCAGGCCTCTTCTTTTGCTCCTAATTACACTAAAGCCAAGCAATCAGCTAACAGGATATTTGCACTGTTAGACAGAGAACCAGTGGTTGATGGATACTCTGAAGATGGACTCAAACCAGTTAGTATTTAATACTTATTTATAAACCTCCTTTTCATTTTTATTTCTGTGTCTTCTGTACAGGAAAAAGTTGTTGCTCGTATTGAAGTGAAAGACGTTGAGTTTAATTATCCTGCCAGGCCTGATGTTCAAGTCCTTCAAGGTCTATCACTCTCTGTAGAACCTGGCCAGACTCTGGCACTTGTGGGTCCCAGTGGGTGTGGTAAGAGCACAGTTGTCTCACTCATTGAG